AATACTCAAACAAACCCGAAAACAAAAGCAGAAAAAACAGCTTGCCAAGAATATATAATTTGACCTGGAGGGGTATTTACATTTTACGACAGGGTGTGTGTGTGTGTGCATCACCTTGATTACGTAGTGCAAATATAAGCTTAACATTAAATATCAGCCCCCGGTTTTATAGCAACAAAACATATAGCATCACAACATCTGCTGGGTGGGAAGACTAAGGAGGAATGGGCATTCAATGTAAATAAAATCAGATGTTGATTCAGATAACTGTAAATGAGCTACCCGGTTTGTTTATGTGTAATTTAACCTGCTAATAAAGGTCTATTAATATGTTACAAAATGATTTATGATACTGATTTATGCTGCTTTATTATTTATATGGTGCGATGACAGGAAACACTTGCCAATAACATGTGGACCCTCTCGAGTCATATGATAAGTTTACGATTCTGCATGGTTTTAATGAGGAGTTAGACTCAGGTTGTTGCGTTGCATCCATCAAAGGATGACAAATGAGCCAAAATGTTGTTGTTTTTTTTTTGATTGTTTTATCTTACACTGGAGGAAAGGGAGATGGCTCAATGCAAAGCATAATTTTCGACTGCCAAAGTTTTGCTTGTGGAGCCCAACAAGGACGGCTACATTTTAAGCATAGACTGTACAAAAGATGGACGTAGCAACCAGCCCTGAAAAATGAAGCCAACCCGGAAGTGTCAAAAACCTGCAATATCACTACGTCCACTTGTTGCTGGCTCCACAAAGCCCTGGCTCCCATAGACTTGAATTGGAAAAGAAGTGATCACAGATCACGAAATACTGCATTCCTACAGCTCAGGATTTTTTTCTTATTAGTTTTCATAGTCAAATTCAGAGATCAGGTGGAAAATCTGAAAATAAATCAATACTGAATGTTTTAAAAATCGTCAACACTTTGCGGGGCATAGGGTGTGGCTGGCTTGATTGACAGTCGGCAGCGACGATGCGGGCAGAGAGGGCCCGCCTCTCAATCCGTCTGACCAATCGCTGCTCCTATGGCTCTGCCCCCCCCCGGATGACTTTTGCGTCACTGGCTCCAAAAATCCAAGATGTCAACCAGGAAGTAGCAAAACCCTGGCTTCATTTTCTCAGTGCAGAAACCAACGGGTGACGTCACGGTAGCTGCGTCCATCTTTCATACAGTCTATGATTTTAAGCAGCCTTTGAAATGAGACAGCCATCTTTGCGTTGCTGTGGTGTGTTCGGTCTTTGATTGTAGAATTAGGGAATTTTCAGACAGGATCAATGACAACGCTTCGTTCTGAAACCTGTTATTTCCACCGACTATGTCAAGCAAAGTGCAGCAGGCTGCTCTGCGACCTCGGACGAGCTACGAATACCTGCATGGTCAATACAGACGAGCCACCCAGCTAGGCACGGAAGGAAAAACTGATGAAAACCTGATATGCATCCGAATGCTCTTGACTTTAGTCTGCATTGAGACCGTGGGAGAAACATCTGCTCTTAGGACCAGGTTTCTGTGTTTTAACATCTTCATATAGTGGTTTTAACAGTTAGGTATTTGTTGTAGGGTTTGTGTTCGCCTCAATATTTTTAAAGACCTATTAAAGTTCCTTAATTGAGGCAGTGAGATAAAGAAGTTTAATAAAACCAATAAACAAACGAATAAAACTCCCACTAGAAGATTTGAAAACTCACCCATTCAACATTTTGTATGTCTGACATTATAATATATATTATAGTACGAGCTGCAGCATGGCAGCTAAACATTTTCATCCATTCAGTGATGCATCTTTCCTGCTGACATTTGTCAGAAAATCTGCAGCAACAGTTGGTAAATTTATTGTTACTCACTTATTATTTCAACCTGCTATGGTCACATTTTATTTTAATCTTCATCATAAAGCACATCTATGAATGGCAGGAACTTAATTGTGAAGGTATTCTTCCACAAACTAAGTCTTTTTGTTCATACTGTGACCCAGTGACTGCACTAAGTGTGCATCATATTCATCAAGCCAGTAGCAAATTCACAAAACGATCACTAAATTAACCCTTTAAACCCCAGGTGAAGGTTTGAAAGCATGTTATCATCAAAAAAATACCCAAATTACAGCATTTATCAGAGCCAAAAACTGTAAAAACAGAATAAAGTTTCACATTTTTACCTTTGCAAAGGTCTTTGAACTCCTCACGTTATAATGTGATTGTGGCTGCAATATGTAACAAACAAGCATGTTCCCATATGTCTAAAGAGCATGATTTTTAGATTTCTGTCGCACCGCAATGCTTCGTTTCTAACAGTATGTTGTGACACATTTTGCTTTTATCAAAAACAATTGAAGCAATTAGGATATTGCACATATCGCAGTAAAATTTGACTTTAAAGTTCAGCCCTACAGTGCGGATAGTTTCAAATAATCTAAATAAAATGCAACACAAGCTTTGTCAAATACACAGCAAACATGCAACTTGTAGTTATACATCAGTTATAAAAGTAAAAAAATTAAAACTTTTCATCCTTTCCAATGAATCGCGTGATTGGTGAATGTCTGTGTGTGTGTGTCTGTCCTGATAGAACCCCTATGTGAGTCTCTGAGACGATCTTATCACTGAGTCAGACAGAAATTCCTCCCTGTCTCTCTCTCTCTCACACACACACACACACACACACACACACATATACACACGCACACGCCAACAATAAGCAACTGAATGACGCGTTTTGTTGGAGTCACAGAGGGACGATCGGAGCAGATATAAGCCGACCCAACTTCCAGTAGACATTTCCCTTTTCAAAGCAGGGCTGTTTGCTGTGGTTTAAACTGATCGAATGATAAAAGAGGCCAGGGCAAAGGTATGTATGGACCACACCCTGCTGTTGTTTTTTTTTTTTTTTTTAAAGCTCGGGTACATAACTGGTTTTAAAGGAATAAAAAAAGATGCTGAAGTGCCAGAGCTCGTGTTCAATGCTTGTATTTGTTCTAAAGAAAACATCACAGGCTTTAGATAATATGCCAGAGGATTACCTGCACAAAAAGAAAGATTCACATACACTCCTGAAAGATCTACCCAACATCAAGGCCTTTTTCTTTCCTCCAGTCAATTCTTTGATACATGTTGGAGTAGGTTTTATGTTCAGCTTATTTCCTGTTATTCGAGCGGCGGTAGCTCAAAACGGGAGTCTTATAACCTGTCAAAGTTAACAATAAAAGCTACATGCAGATTTCTTGGCTGCCTCTGTTTACCCAAGTCTCGCTCCTACTTATGCTCTTGGCCTGAGCTCCGGTTCTCGGCTCCAGCGTTCTGGTGTGGGGGGCAGGGGATCAGAGACCACACACGCACACACACACTCACAGACTCGGCTACACACTCCACACAACACGTCTAGGAAGAAAACTGATATATTTCCACTCATTTCAACAGACGGACAATAGGAGGTAGCGGTTCTCACTACGCAATTTATTGAGACGCGACAAAATCACAGCTGGAAACTTGACTTTTGGTTGACTTGTGACCTTGGCTGCAGCAAACTTTGGGTGATTTTTCAGTACAGTTTCTAAAAGCAGCATTTAGTCAGTGTAAATCAACTTCAAAGGACTTTAAATGTGTAGTTTAATTTGCTTGAGCTCAAATCTTTCTTATATTCCTATTTTTCTCAAACCTTTGCTGCACAAAAACTGTCTAAACAGAACCGCCAGGCTGCAATTATGAACGCTGAGCTCATATTGTCTGTATTTTTTTTAAGTCTGGGGGAGTTTACATTACACTCCTGCCATTATTTAAGTAAAAATGTACAAATGTTTGGTGTTTTTGAGCTCATTTTTAAATTGCGTGGATTTGAAAGGGGGCATCAGGGAATGTTATTCCTGATAGTGAATAATTACATTTGCATTTGCACAAATAAATGGATAATCAATGAGGGGGGGAGCTTGTTTTTCAGGTATCTGGTCAAATTCTGGTGCATTTGGAAGTCTCCTGATCTCAGTATTTCTAAAATGTTGCCTCCAGCGCTGCAGCTACATGGAAAACATGCCACAACAACTTCAACTTTAAACATCAGCTTTAACTGAATTAATTTCTGGATACAACAAACCCAACAACGTCTCACTGGCTTGCTGCCGACTCTTCAGACAGCCCCGCAATGCCGTGACTACACTGCACAGACTTCATAGGTACCCATTCACCTTTCAACACCGTCCACAAGTGAGCCCAGGGAGGCTTGATCGAGTGGGTTTGTGGGTTTCTTCTAACGCTACAAGGACCTCTCCACCCGACCCCAGCACGTAAACAAATAAAGCTCCAGTTTCATCATCTAGAGGGGGCTGTTTCCTGTCCAAACGTAGCCCTCAAGCCCCCACCGCCCACCCTCCCCTCTTTTCCACATATACGCACACAAAACTCTACACCTCCGCCTCATCAGAGCCGCTGGGCTCCCCCGCCCCCAAAGTGCCAGCCTCTTTCCACTGCTCAATTGCAGAGAGGAATGAAGGGATTTGAGGGAAGAAAGAGGGAAAGAGGGGGATGGGTGCTTGGAGAGGCGAAGGGGATTGGGAGTATGCACGGGGATCTTATTGCAGCTTCGTCCCAGTGAAATATTTTGCTGTGGAGAAAGCGTAGACGGGGAAAGAGAGACAGAAAGGCTACACTGCTGCGGCATCTAGATAGTGAGACCCCAGACCCCCACCGAGCCCTCCATGCCTCTCTGACAATGGGAGCTTTATGCAGCCGAGTTTTTGGTTGTCTTAGCAGCCTTTGAAAATAGGAGGAAAGCACAACATAACAACTCCAGTAAATATAATTAACCCTTCGGGGTAAACATCCAGAGAGGATGCAGGCGATGTGGGTTTGCACTGACAAGTGTGTACGTCTGGCTCCAAAACTTTTTTTTTTTTTTCCATTCGTGCTGCCAAACTTCCAAAAAAGTTCAACTTTTAGAGTCAAACGCATCTTCCTGGTCACAATATCCGTGTGCTACTGCATGAATTATGCAAGTTACTCACCTGTGTAGTCTCTTGGCATAATGTGAGGCGGACTGGGGAGGAGGGGGGGCGCAGTTTCAGTGTTAGACAGAGTTGAGTCTGGTGAATGTAGAAAAAGAGCAAACATGCATCAGATGAGTTGGATCCAGATCAGTTTTTAACAACTATTTTGGTAAATGATTTATCCTTTAAGATGGATAGATTAAGCTCTTTATTGATCCACTGAGGAAACTGCAGTTATTTTCATTCATCAAGAAAAATGCAAACCATCCTCTCTAGTTTCAGCTTCTAAAAGGTCTGGAGGTTTACAGGACAGAAGCAGGTTGAACATACTTCTTAGACATGAACCAGTGATGAGTTAATCTAAAAATATTTGAATAATTATCAGATTATTCCTTTGAGTGATTGTGTCAGGACTGCCTGAGTGTGCACTGCACAAACAGAGCTTACAAAGTGCCATCCAAAGGAAAGATGAGTCCAACTGTGCCACTTTCAAAGCTAATCTGTGTTTACCGTCTAAAAATATGACCCTCTCTGTGTCATTTACATGTTTCGTAACACAGTAACCATTTATCCAAACTCACCCAGTGGCTTGTGTTCATCTGAACGGGACAGAGAGTATGGAGGAGGAGGTGATTCTGGAAATAGAAGAAAGAAAAACAAGGTTAAGTTAAAGGCTAAATTATTAACTTTGCAAAAAAATACTCCCGAGCTAATCATCCCGGACATTATATAAGGCCCTGCATGAATCTCTAACAACACTAAGTATAAGATTACTCTGCGAAATACTTACAATTTGCATTCTATTTTATTTATGTTGTCATAAACATACATAATAACAAGGCAGCACAAGAAGCATGCTGTAAATCATTGTCAAACGAGAATATAAGCTCTCACTTATGACATTACATCCGGACAACTTTGTCTAGTGTCTCAAAGTAATGGTGCCCTTCTTTAAACACACAAACTGAGGATATTTTTACCACAAACTGCAGCCATTAAAGGACAAAATATACTATTTTCTTGACAAGGAAGCCATTAAAAGTATCTGCTTCTGTTGCCAAGGGTAATTCACCAGAATGTAACTTTGCACCCGGAGATTTATTTGAATTGTGCATCACTTAAGGCTGCATATTGTGGTTATTTCTAATAAGAGGATATGTTTGCAAGTGCAGGACATCTTATCATGAATACTTTGCATTGAATATCACAGTAACACAGCTGTAAATATACACTATCTAGCCTTATTTTGAAAGTCTTATGTATAATGTAACACCACAAGTCATATCCATTCAGACACTGCAACCACTTCTCTACAGTGTACTTTTCTCTTCTTGTTGTTCTTTTTTAAATAGTATTTGATTCATCCTCAGCCTGTGCTGCATCTTCCTTGTTTTTCAGCAGAGATATTTCATTCACATACAGACTCTCAGGACGACTTGTGTGTGCAAAGCAGCTGTAAAAGCGAAGCGGTGCTGCCTGACAGTCCCTGCATATCCACAGTGGACACGGAGTTTGTGGCTGCGGCCCCTTTAAGAGCAGAGCCAGTAATTGCCGGAGTCCTCAGTCAGTCAGATACCCAGCGAGTCAGTCTGGCGCCAGCACTATGCAAACTGTATATTATCGGCACTCCTTCACCTAAATAACAAGAGGAGGACCTCCTTGTCAGAGGAAAAAGAGCCTAAGTGCAACTTGAGAGCGACCTTCATTTGGATGATGTGGGAAGCAGCAGAGTTTTTTTTTTGTTGTTGTTTTGTTTGTTTTTGTTTTTTTGCGCAAATTTAAATAAGTGTGTTTGGAATGTCGTGAAGGAACCAACGTAATGGTTGAAAAAGAAAAAGAGTCATTAAAAGATTATAAAATTGCAGGTCAGGCGACAAAACCTGAGCAGAGCCAGTGCTGAACTGTCAGTTTAAAGGCCAGCAAATGAGCTTCATTTGCAAATAATTTGAGAGACCAAGAAAACAGTCATAAATCATATCATGGGCGCATTTTTAAATGATTGTGACGTTATTTGACACGGAAGTCAACAATAATATGATTCTTCTACAGCTCCAGGCTTCTGGCTGCAGTTAAGTAAGCTGATTAATTGAACATTTCCATTAATTTCATGCTGTTTTTCTGCTGCAGTGCTGAGAGCTGTCAGTCTTTAGGTTGCCTAAATAAAATTGGAGATGCACTTTTGTTTTATGAGATTAACTTTCAGCAGTGCCTCCGCCTGATGTTGGGCCTTCAGGGGTCATTAATGGAGTCAAAGGGTCATGTAGAAGATGCGTGATGCTTATTTGGGAGTATTTTAGAGCAGAATGACATGAGATTGATTTATTTGACATTTGAGCGTCTTTTCTGAGGCCTCCTGTGGATCTGGTCCTCTGATGTAACCCCCCGCTCCCCTCCACAGTTGCTGTCCTTACCTGGCCCACATAAGCGGCTGTAGTGATAGGGGTTGCAGCACACCTTTGCGCTGTCCACCGAGCCGAAGCTTTGGCAGTGGCACAGCGCTTTGAGTCGGGCTGTGAGCGGCAGGTCGCTCCAGCGGAACAGCTTACACAGAAGATACTGTGGAGAGATGAGATGAGCGCCGAGCCGCAGCTCCGTGCTCGGCACCATGACGCACTCGCTTGGTATTCCTCCTTTGGTCTCCACAGCCTTCACCAAGGCGTCCAGACATCTCTCCTTCAGTCTTTTCAAAAATGCATGAGCGGTGCTCGCCAGTTCCTCCTCCAGCCCCGCACGCCTCGGTGCGCACTGACAAGGGCCACCTCCATCTTTCCTCGGGGCCCAGTAAGGGCTCCGAGGTCTCAGATCCCATTCTCCAAACAAACAGCACGTCACCGTCCTAGCGTCGCCCTCCTGTCCGCGCCGGGAGCCTCTGTGCTCCGGGACGCACATGGCACCCCGGTCATCGTCGGGCTGCTCCTCGTCCTCCCTCTCCGCGCTCTCCGTCGGTTCTCCAGCCTCCCCGGCGAGTCCCGGAGCCGGGTCAGCGTGCGTCACCGACCGCTGCTCGTGTCTGTGGAGCTTTCCTGAGTGTCTGCCGCACGGACCGTTCCGTCCTGCCTCACCTCGTCTGCTTCCATCCCGCCCGTCGCTCTCGGTGACCAGACGGCTTCTCCAGAGTCGCCGTACAAGACCTGAGCGTTTCGACTTGAACATACGACAACCTAGACAGTTTTGGATGAGTCCTGTCGGTCCCGTCCGCTTCTCGGGAGATGCCACATCGATTTACACTCGTCGCGCAACACCGGGAGTTTGTGCTGCACGGTGCGCACAACATGCGCAGCCGGTGGTCGCAGTTTTCTGGCTCTCCGGCAGCATTAGAAAGAAATATTCAGTCATGCGTCGCGTTAAACATCACCAAGCGTCTGCAGAGGGAGAAGGCTGCACACAGTCACTGCTCAGTGACCTGCTGTCGCCAACTCAATTAAGCCACAACTTTTGCCAGCCCTCTCACAAAGCCTTCAGCTCCCAAACACCCTGGAGATCCCGCACACAATTCACAAACCATAGTCAGACCGCCCAAGCGCCGGGATCAGCTTACAGTGACAAAAAACACCATCCGAGGCACAAACCCAAAAAGTTTTCCAGAGTTTCTCCTTGAGTTTCTCCAAGCTCCTCGCTCCTTCCTTCAACCCCGAAATAAATCCTCCACAGCGTTGAACTCCAGGAGGTTTCTGTCGCCGCTCTGGAAGCTGCAGCTCCGCCTCAGTGTCCCGGCTGTGAAGCTGAGATGATCGGAGACTCCAGCGCCAAACTCCGGGACGGATTCCGTGCTGAGAAGTTGTTTTAAAGAGAGCTGGAATTACTCCGCTCTGCCTCCACTCCCCTGCAAGTCCTCCACTGACACACACACACACACACACACACACACACACACACACACACACACACACACACACACACACACACACACACACTTAGAGTCAAGCTGCACATAACACAACCAGAGTTATTTCACTCTGGATTTCAAAATAAAACCCCTCATGTCAATGTATGCTACTGTCAAAATAAAGGATACCTTCAGGGTTGAGGTAAATTGTTCTTTATTTATGATTTAGAAGCCTATTGCCACGTCCTAAAATGCAGATATATGTTTAGGACTTGCTGCTAATGACACACTGTATAACATAGCAATGAAAATACAGCCAAATTCTAACAGTAGTGCAAGTTGTCCCCCCATGAAGTTATGTTAAAAACTGTAAAATCAGATTATTTTTTGGTTGTTGTTGTTGTTGTTGTTTTTTTTTTACCCAGAACAAGTATGGCCATCAACAGCAGGCTCCAGTGAGAACTTCCAGTGAAAATGAAGCAAAAAGTTTTTGCACAACAGTTCAGAAAGTGCTGTTTATAGCAGGAACTTGATTTAGGCAACTAAGAATCTGACTTTTTTCCTTTTTTACATTCATGAATTTTCCCCCCTTGGTTTCAAAAATATATTTAATTTGCCATACTGTGACATTTATACATTTTGAAAAGAAGAAAATGTTGTGATTTTCAGGCAACAGCAGCTACAGTTGGTGGTGTTGACACACTTTATAAACACTTTTACAGGTTCCTCCTCATTGTGATAAACATGTTTGCTTGTAACAACTCAAAAATGGCTTCAAACGCCTCTGAAATGCGATGAGAATAAACAAATATGGGACATGATGAATCCTGGATATGCTGTAAATGTGAAATGTACAGAATATGCATTTGTTCATGATGACTTAACTCAGGAGGAAACACATGTTCTATAATAAAACAGAAGTGGCCAAGTGGTCCTGGACACACATCATAGTCCATTTCTCACCGTCTACACACATAAAAGCAACTGTCATTCCTAAGAGACAACAACATACAGGATTTAAATGGAACAGTTAAAGGAAGTTGTTAATGCCAGTAACAAATTGTATCTTTATCACAAACACAGCTGAAGCCACAGGATCTAAGTGGAGGTTGACTAGCAGGTACCGTGCTCGCTATGATCAGTCAGGCACAGAGGCCAAAGCAGGCCAAAGAAAACTTCCTCCTGAACAGATGAGCAGAACTTTGCAGAACTTTTTTCAGAAAGTTCTATCTGGGAACTCGGAGAACGTTCCCAAAGCCATGATCTCATCGGGAAGTCTATTTAACAGTAAACCTCATGTTCTGCTGTCTTGCTTTTTGCACATTATTTGCTAACTGCCTTGTAACACACACACAGCATTTTGGTCAGTACAGGCTACTTTAAACATGCTATATCAGTAAAGTTCATTTGACTTGATAACTATTTTAAACTGTCATTAATACATATGTTAGATTGATTGCTTGCATGTGCATCTGTTGTAACTGTTAAAAACACTCTCATTCCATTTTATCTCCCACAATTTAACATGCTTTACGGCCACAAATGTCAGGATAGCAAGACTGTCAGGGCATGACGACTGGTGGAAGAATAATACAGAAAACGAAAACAGAAAGATTTATTTTAAAAAAATAACAAAAAATTAAAAAAAAAAAAACAATTGAAATTACTACTAAAATGCAGTTTAGGTTCCTAAGTTCTCAAATATGGATTATTAAAATAGATAGAACAGTTTCATTACTTTGCTGTCACATGTGCTCTTAAAAGAAGAAAACATTTATTTTTTACAAAACATCATGCTTTTATTTTGAAACCAAAATCACAGAGCCTCAAGTGTATTTCTGTTCACACATCTCGCTCTCTCTCTCTCTCTCTCTCTCTCTCTCTCTCTCTCTCTCTCTCTCTCTCTCTTCAATTTGCTTTAATGACATGAAAGTTAGGACATTATTAGGACAACATTACCAAAGCATCAATGACATCCTAAAAAAACTTGATGAATGCATCATTCACTCAATTCCTTCATTCACTAAGGAAAAAAGACAAACAAACAAACAAACAAACACTGTTGCCCATAAAGTGTGAATATTTTTTTTGTTTTCAGACATATTCCTCTTTTTATTTCTATTTATACACATCACTAATTCCTTTTGACCAGGTTCAGTGATTACATACTGAGTCCCAGTTACCAGGTGACACAAGTTCTGACTTCAGGATCTGATCCAAGAGTGGGATTTCCTGCCCATTGACACCATCAACAAGCTGGTGGACAGTATGCCACCATGTCTTAACACATTGATCTGTGTCAGGGGTGGTCATGCTCAATATTAGTGACTGAGTGGCATTTGAAAGAGTAATATTGAACATTCTTATGCATGGAATCACCTGGAATATGTGTTTCCTGTTATATGACCAAGGTCGAAAAATGGAAAAAAATCCTAATCTATTTGTTCAATACCCCCAGTTTAGTTTAAGCTTGAACACACAGTTTTTAAATGTTAGCTGTGGTTTAATCTTTACTCTGATATGTATTGTATGAACATTGTGATATCAATAAAGTTTTGACAAGATATACACGTCATCTATCAAGAATAAATCGTATTGTCACAATCATTTCATGAGATTTTATTCCAGCTTTATGGGCAACTGTACATACATACATATATGTATATTTTTGGAGGAGAGAGAAGCTTCAAGCTGGCTGCTGCTGCAAAACAATGAGTCTGTCCTCACAGCACAGGAGGCAGAAGCAGCCAAATGTGCATTTGAACTGTTTCCTGGTGCATCTTACTCAGCTGACCTGCACCGTCTGATTTCTGTCTGTTTTCTGTCTGTTTTAACAGAGTGATGACGAAGACCTTCATGCTGCTGAGGAGAATCTGGAGCTTCTATGAAGAGAATCTTGAACATCGATGGACTGCTGAAGTTAAAGGAGAACATGTTGAAAAACATCACAAGAGCAATCTTTTCCTGTGATGTTCTCTGGTTAAACTGATAACTATCTGTGTGTCTCTCCAGGTCCTAAAATATCTTTCTTTATGTCTCTATGTCTCTTTGTTTCCACGTCTCTAAGGCTCTATGTCTGTGTCTATATTTCTTTTTCCCTCTGTCTCCCTATCTCTATGTCTCTTTGTCTTTAGGTCTGTATGTCTCTTTGTTTCTTTGTCTCTATCTCTATGTTGCTTTGTCTCTGTCTCTATTCCTTTTTATTGTCTCTCTCTCGCTTTCTATGTCTCTTTGTTTCTTCATCTGTATGTCTCTCTGTCTTTTTTCTTTCTCTCTCCCCCTGTTTCTCACTCTCTCAATCTCTGTCTCTCCCCCTCTGTCTTTCTCTCACTCCCCCTCTCTGTCTCTGTTTCTCTTCCGCTGTCTCCTCCTCTGTTTCTGTCTCCCCCCTCTGTCTTTGCCTCTCCGTCTCTCTCCCCCTCACTATCTCTCTCTCTCTCTCCCTCTCTCTCCCTCTCTGTCTCTGTCTCCCCCTCTGTCTCTCTCTCGGGGCCCCAGAGGAAAGCTCTGGAGCCATTGGTTGATTCCCGCCATCATGTGCCAGTCTAGACACTTTGGCGGCTGGGAGCCGCACTGATTGTTGCGCAAACACGGTTTCAAGTTTCTTAACTCTTAAAGACGCAACATCCTGCTCTGCTCTGCTCAAACTGGAAATGTTGAGCAGCACAACACAGTCACACTCATCACATATACATGAGCATATAATTACAGCCTGCATATAAACACACATTTAAATGACAGAATAACTCCCTAAACTGGTACTGACAGATGGTGAGATCCATGTCATTACTGTTATTCAGCATATTGCCATCATATTGTAATTACACAGTGGAGAAGATTAGCATAATGCTTTTAAAGTGGAGTCATAGAGATGCCTTTTTTTGTTAAAGGATGGTACATGCAGGGACTTAGAGTCTTGGTTGTTCAGATGCTCAAATTTTTTGCCACAAACAGGAACATGAAGAGATTAAAATGTAAAGTTTTAGGTCCATTACAGAGACTTCCTGCTGCTTGTGAGACCTAAATGGAGTGTACAGCTTTACAGTTTTGATTTTAGTCAAGATTTTCAGTGTCAAACCTCCTCATCACATTTCTTTCTTCGCACAAATACATGTTTACTGTTACAAAGGAAGTCCTTTTTTTCTGTATGTAAATATTACAGTATTTCTATGGTGTCAGACACATGAAGATTTCAAAGGGCTTTTTAAAAAATGATAACATACTGTATATAAAAGTATTGTTCACTGCAGTCATACATTGCGCATTGCCTCTCAGGAGATGGAGCAGGTCGTCCACCAATCTCACACTGTAATTAAAAAAAATCCTGGAAAATTACAGTAAAAATCTGGCAGCAAGTGTGCCAGAAAATATTTACAGAAACAAAAAAAAAGGATAAAAACTGCAAAGTTCAAAAACTGTAAAACTTGTGAAAATAGCGGCAAATATTTGGAAAAATAGTTTTTTTTTTTTTAGCTGATTTAAATACAATAGAAATTACTACTTTTGTACATTTTAAAAGAAGAAAATCTTAAAATAAAATAAAGATACAGATTGTTGATGTGGACAATATTTACAGGTTTTAACTGCATTTTAACAGTCAATATTGGAATTCATACCGTTTTTTAAAAATGATTTTACAAGATAGTATCTGTAATTCAACACAATAGAAAAAAAGTGTTTTAAGTCATTAATATACATACATTTTCTTTCAAATAGCGGCAAATATTTGATTTTTTTTTTAAAACAACTTTTTTTTTTGCTGATTTTTATGCAGTAGCTATAGTATACATTTACAGTCAAACGCTGTAAAAAACAAATTACAATTTGAAAAACAAATCCAGATTTTTAATGTAAACATTATACAATTTGGCCTCTTTTTGTGTGGATAGCACCTAAATTAACATTTTTTTTCTCTAAAATTTTACTACATACTATTTGAAATTTAACAAAACAGAGAAAGCTGTAATATAACAATCAAATCCTT